TCATTGCTCTCAGGATCCCGTAGTAGCGCTACACACATATCATCACTCGCGTACGCGGCGCGGATCAAATTTGTCACAGGCAACGTCACATTCGTGACATGAGCAATCTCATAATCAGGTCTACGTGACAACGCATCAGACAAATTATCCTGGATTCCTGGCTTATAATTTACCTCAAAATTATATTTTGCAAAGAATGAGAGCCACGTGGCCATCCTCTGCGCGAGGTAAGGCGACTGAGTCACAGTGCGTAGTGACGCATGATCTGTGTAGATTGCGAATGGCTTGGAGCCGAGCAGTTGAACCCTGAACCTGACAAGTGCATACCTGATTGCAAGTAATTCTTTGTCGTGGAGCATGATTGTTTTTCTTCGCAGCCTTAAACTGGTTCGAACGCGATCACCAGTTCTCGCTCCTCAGCGTCTGCTCGCAGCAGTGCACAACCGATGGCAAAGTCCGGAGCGTCAAAGATGACACTAAAAAAACAATCGGGGTCTGGCAACGCCAGTATTGCTGCAAGTAGGAGGCTAGCTTTGACCCTGTCAAAAGCCTTCCGATGCTCGGTGTCCCACACCATGCAGCCTCCTTCTTGAGGAGATTCGTGGCATTTCTGCGTAGTTCTCGCTGTGCTTGTGCAAGTAGTTGGCGAGGCCAAGACACTTGCGCAGGTCCTTCTGGTTATTTAGAGCCGGCAAGTCCACGATGGCCTTGACCTCAGCGGGCCCGCTCCAAAAGCTAAAAGCACCCTAAAAAGGAAATTTCTCCGGCGCCGAAGATGCACTTGTCTGCATTAGCATACGGCTTATTCGTGCGCATGCACTCGAGCACCGCTCTTAAATGAACGATGTGGTTCTCTTCATCTGTCCTCCCGTGCCCCGCATGACTGTGGACGAAGATGCCGTCAGAGTATGTCTGTGCATACGCCCGGTGGGGTCTAAACAGCTGCATCACAAGACAATTAAATGCTGCTGGTGCATTTGACAGCCCTTGGGGCATCATCAACCACTCCCAGAACATCCCGCTCGGAGCACTTACCGCTATCAGCGGAATACAACTCTAGTGGATCGCAAGCCACTTACTCCAAGAGTAACTACAACCTTAACCCAAGGATAATCAACTCTTCCGTCCAAACTTAAACTTTGGCTTTTTTTGCGACAAAGCCGCAACCTGCTATCATGTGCAAGTGGTAATAACCATCGACCAAGTCAGATGTGCTGTACTTTGTACAGATAATTATATCGTTCTGAAGACCAGCCTATCTAGAAATCGGGATATGTGCCGGAATGGTGGTAGCGTTTACCTTAATATAACCGTAAACGATACGCCGCTTGCCTTTCGGCTTCCGGACACAAAACGTGGGTGTTGAATAGGTAAACTTGCTCTCACGCACCACTTCTGCTTTGTGCTTTGCACGTCAAAAGGCGTCATTGACGTCGCACTATTCCTTGGGCAGGTGCTATTGGCGTGCAACGCAGTAGTTAATTCCCAGAAGCAGGTCGATCTCATGACGCACACCACGGTCCAGAGGTTGGACCGACGGCGGGTCTTTGGAAAACGACGTTTTAAAATTTCTTTCCCAAAAATTAAACGGATTTGAGGGGTCCTTCAGTATCGACGACCCACTTCGTGCAATCAGCACTTTCTTGGTGTCCTCCAGGACAGCTTCATCCAGAGCGACGACGAGTCGATCTTTTCTTCCGATCGTATAATGATCACCTCAGTTAAATTGTCTTCCTTTAAGGCACCGCCAAACGCTTCGAAGGACATCTCGTCCATATTAAGAAGAGCACCAACCGAGAAAATAGCCTCGAGGGTGACGTTGCCGTCTTCCTCTCCCGTCGTACCGTTGACAAGGGTATATAGCTGTGCTCCATCGTTTACGATAGACATACCATGGGTCAGGGTCGACGCCCTGGGTCTTGCAGATATCGTTCGGCTTCGCCGTCTCCTCTCTATAAGCGTATCATCGAGACCAGTGGGAACACAAACACAGCGTCGTCCAGTGTCCCCACTCCCTGCTCCATCGGAGCCTTGATGCTATTAACAACAATCGACGAACAGCTGCTTTTCCCGCAGTCATCGTCCAGTGGATAATGTGTCACTCCATGCGCATCAGACGGGCCTTGCCCACGACGTCTCGGCCCTTGGCCGCCCATGCCACTCTTGGTATTCAACGACTGCTCCAACACTTGAGCAGCGCTCAGTGAGTTCGGTGCCACTCCACGTCCAGCCCGCGAGCCACGCATGGAACCCTTGTCCAGTACACCTTCAGTGTTTGACAGCTCGGATATTCCGATATTCAACACATTGACCGTCCCGGTCCAGTGCCTGCGCCAAAAGCGCTTCTGCTTTCTAGTAGTTGTGGGTTCATGACTTACCAAAGCCCCACCAGGAGACGTGCGCATAGCGCTCAAGGTGTTTGACCTCCGATCAGTCCATGGTTCATGGTGTTCCAACCATGCTATACCAAGAAAAAAGGTCATACCCTGCATCCAAGTCTAAGACTAGACAGCGCTCCACGCTATCTAAGTCAAGGAACCTGACACCGATGTCCACAGAGACCTTCGGCACAATGACTCAACTCCAGGTCGCTAAGCGAACAGTGACGGTGTCACTCAACCGCGCTTTCAGCGTTTCGGCATACAAATGACTTCCTTTGATCGTGGAAATCGATAAGGATTTTCCATGGCTTATCAGAGCTCTTCACGGTTGCTTTCACGACCAGCAAGCCCGGTTTGCACACACGTTCCGTGTTCAAGAGCACAGATCTCTTCGAAGCTGGACCCTGCTTTTCCTTGAGGCGCAACAGGACTCAGTTCTTTATCAGTAGGGCGCCAACTGGGTATTCTCGTTTCCCCGCTTCAAACCAGACTGGATATAAGCGAGACGTCGTTTCGAACGAACTTTTACGCGCCTTGCACAGGGGACACCCAGTCCAAAGGTGACGAATGTTGATCAACAGACAAAAAACCGTCGGGTGTTCAAATGCTGCTCGGAGATCTCCCTCCTCTTTCTTAGCATAGCTGAAATCCATTGGCTCAGGCCCTCTCGACGAGGTCTGAGAGTATGCCTTCCGACAAAGTCGAGCCGGCTTAAAATTGAAATCAGCTTTTAATGCCACGCTCACTGCTTCTTCGAAAAAAGACGGAAACACACAGAAGACTTCCATTCTAGCCACGCCAGTGCGGAGGCCCTCCATAAAGTCGGTCTCTGTGACCGCCTAGGGGAGAGGATATGCTGCCATCCCGGCAATGGGAGTTCTCAACTCTTGGACAAAGTCCACCAACTACTTCTTGCCCTGTCGGGTGGCAAGTAAACGCGATTACACCCGATATGCCTGATTATGCGGCGAGAATACTCGTAAAAGCTGCAGCTTTAACTTCTTCTAGGAGGGGAAACGCAGCTTCAACCAAAGCACCACATTTTGCGCCCATTGTTGCGCCTGGCCCCCGAGCTTGGAGGTAGCTAGCACCGTGCTTTAGCTCGTTTTGGAGAATGGCGAATGTCATAGCCATCTCGGCCTCTATCACCCAGAGCAGGAGATTCTCTCCATCCTTACCCTCGAAGGCCTTAACGCTCACCATGAGCGGCCTAGGTCGGATGGAATCATCCGTCGTCGACGGTGGCATCATAGACGCAGATACTGACAGATTCTGCTTTGAGAGCTTTAACAGAGCATTTCCTATAATCTGAAAACGCATATAGGCGCTCGCTTATGGCCTCGGACCCTTGCGCAACTAACGGATTTTTACGAATAGAAGACCTTCTACTATTACAAGCCCCCATCGAATTT